AAAACAATGACAAGTATTTTAAAGAATAATGCTACTTGTGCAACTTTGTTTGAGAATTTTAAACTTGACCAATCACATTTATCTGTTTTAAAAATTATTTTTTAAATCAACGATTCTAGATTTAACGATGTCAAGATTGTCAACAAGGGTTGTACAAATAAGTTAATTGAATTTTAAATGGCGCCAATTCTGGCCCGCCAGTACGGAACCAACACCTGTGCTTATCCCTTCCTAGCAGCCCATTATAACTATTATTGTGCAGGAAACATAATATAATGTACAAAAATGATGTTATTCATTGTAAGTACAAAAATAGCTACCTTATGTGGCATATATGTGACAAATTATCATTTGACATATTAATATAATAATTTTTTATTGTCTCATATATCAAATAAAAAAATTAAAACATGTATGTCGTAGGACGACTATTAAAGCCATTATTATGAATAACATTACTCAACTTTGCAATGATTGATTTGAGGAAGATAATTTGTATGAATACATGGCCACTTATATATATGTAAAATCATTTTTTAATCAGTAGTGCTTTCCGACAAGGGCGGACCCAAGATTATTTTTCAGTGGGGGCCAAACAAAAAAAAAAAGAGCTAAAATAAACTGTGAAAGCAAAAGAATGAAAGAGCCAAAATGAAAACACAAGAAGAATGACAAAAAGAACATTTTGAGAATCGAACTCAGGGCTTCCTAGTTCCCACATCTAAAGCAATAATAACCATTGGTCCAAATGCCCAGCATTTTTCTCAAGATATTTGAAATTTCAGTGGAGACGACTGCCCCCTCTTGGCCCTTAATGGGTCTGCCCCTGCTTTCCAAAAATCATTCGTTCAATACGACTTTGATAAGGTTGATTTTTTTCCCCCTTTACACACTTTTGTTATTTGAACTGTTGAAAAGGTACACCAAACTGATAATACTGTAGGCCTAATGTTTGGTTACTATTCATTAACCGATCACAACAGTAAGAACCCTTCACAACTCTACAAGATAATATTGAAATATACAAAATTGAAATTAAAGCACTCAGCTCTAAATAGATTAGAAAGGCATAATTGAAAGATTATTTACTGCTTTGAAGATATGAAGCTAAAAATCCTGTACAGCCCCACTTGGTCTGGAACTTTGTCCTATTCACACATATTCTTAAGGATTTTTTTCGGTATCCCTTAAAGTCAATTAATCAAGAAAAATACTTTAATTTGATTACGACTGAAATATTATTATAATTTGGTTTTGATTGCTCTTGATCCATCGATAAAGAACACGTTTATTTCGAGTTGAAAATTGTTGCTTTGTATCTTATTGACCGTCTTATCATTACATTTTTGTTACTTAGACAAAAAAATCACTTCTTCTTAGTAAATAAGAAGACCTCAATTTGTAATATGTTGAGATTTTAAGAAATATGTTGACGTCTTTTCATTTGATAAGGAAATATGATTTACGGAGAGGTCAGAAATGTATTAGAGGGACAATTGATGTGAGCCCGTTTGTCTACGTTTGTAGTTTCAATAATTTTGTTGGATGCACAAATTTTATTATAAAAGTTAGTCACGGTTTACTTAACAATGATAATTTGCAAAAAATGTTAATGGATGGATCATTGAATGTGATGAAAGAATGCTCTCCGATATTCATTTCATACTAGAATAAATAAGTAGATAATAAAATGCTTTACTAGGTACTATAATATTAATGTGAAAGGATTAGTTTTATGCCCATATTAGATAAAAGATATCTTGCCCACTGATGATGTGTCAACAATAAATAGAAGATACCTTGCTTGACGGTGATGTGAAACTCTTGATGTGGCAGCACAAATCACCGGTACTTTAGATTCACTGATAGACATATATCTCATGTCCACCATGAATAGGAAATAAGTAAAATGATTAAATGTATTAGGATAAGTAATTAACAACAAATATTTGTTACTCATGTAAAATTTTATCAGATCCGTTTTGCTACACTTATATTCTAGTTGGCATTCTCATTTACATTTCACACGTTTCACACAATTTTGTCATTGATTTGTCCAACACTTAAAACAATCAATGACTTCGATTTTTACACCACTTCTCATCCAAGATGTATACAAAAAATTTGTAAGTAGATTAATTCAAGTTTATCTAACGGGTGCTTACTATAAAGGAGAGCTTGAAGAAAATAATTATTTGATATGATGTTTAAAATTATAATTACCATGTGATTCACGCATACTTATGCTTTGGACCACTCACAAACACACCAACATCATATCGTGTCACAATATCCACCCCTTTGATCATCCTCACCTATTTCTCAATCGTAGATTCCCTCCTCTCACAAAAGACAATTACGATAATTTTAAATAATAATACTATTCATAGTCGCTCTCTATCAATAATCATTCTATGTAATAGTTTGTTATTTTAAGTATTAATCTTTCTATAATTTCGCTTCCTGAAATAACAAGTTAATCCTAAAATAACAAATTGTCACATAAGACTACTATTATAGTGAGCGACCATAAAGATCATTATTCAATTTTAAATGGTGTCGCTCTATCCCTCAAATACATAACCAACACTAGTGCTTGTCTCTTTTAGGGCTGGACAAAACTCACGAACCGAACCGAACCTGAACTGAACCGAACTCGACGGTTCTTCTCAAATTAAATACCTGAACGGGTATTTGAATCAAGAATCGACGGGTACGGTTCGGTTCGGATCGGTTCTGGTTCTAGGCCAAAATCCGAAGAACTGAATCTCCTTAATTTTTTTAATTTATTTATTTTAAATAAGTAAAATTATTTTATTTTTTCTAAATAAATTTGTTAACTAGTTAATTTAGTTCAAACCACAAAATATGATTTTTCTATTTCTAATTTTCAGTTCAAAATCAACTTAATCAAATTGACCTCAATTTTATTCAAATCTGTTACTCTACTGTAGTGTCGTTTCTACTGAAAAAAAAATCGAATTAAAGCTCTACAACATCTCTCTTAATTATTTTGAGCTCGCTATCTTTCTCTTCCTGTGATTTTAATAATCAAATTTATGAAAAATTCAGTAAAGAGAGACATATAAAATTGGATTACGTTATTTTGTAAAAGCTAATATTGAACATATCATTAATTAAATTAATGTAACTTTGTATATATTAAAAAATTTAATTATAATGCAGAACCGAATGAAACTGAACCCGAACGATTTTATAATTAAATTTGGACCCGACGGTTCCACTTACTAAATATCCGAAAATTTACCGGACCATGTCCAGCCCTAGTCCCTTCCCAGCCGCCCACAGAAACAGTTACTGTATAACAATCAACGTATTGTACAATGATTGATTTGAGAAGTGTTAGGGCTTCTATGGGAGAGGTTGGAGAAACTATTGGAAATTTGGAAATAACGTAGGTTTTTAGATTATTAATAATTATTATTTATTATATTCATTATTTATTTTTCTGTAATACAGCGAAGGATTACTATGCGTTAAATGGATTGACGATTAAAAAGGAAATAAAAACTCAATCACTCAAAAGTACTTGAGAGTGAGCTCCCAAACAATCCCTTAAATTGGGGCTTTTTAAGGTGGTTAATCAGTATGCAGGTTCATGCCTAAGGTTCGGTTATAGGCATGGATGCCTGAGGCCTGTAAATATTGCTTTTGCCTACCCAAGATGACTCACATCACTCTTAGTGTGTTAAGCAGTCGTTCGACGAACAGGAGAGAGAGAGAGGCTTGACTTTACTAGTTGGTACAACCTGTTGACTTGTCTTTTATTGTTATATTTCAGTTTTTTTATTGTTATTTTGCAAAACTTCTTTTGTTGATCTTTGGATTACAGTGATTTTTATTTGCTTAATTTCATTTTTTCTAACTGAAATTTAAGAAAAATAACCTTCCATAGTTAATAATGATTTTTTTTATCCTGGATTTCTTGTAGGAAGAAAAGCAAGAAATTCACGGAAAGAAAAAAAAAACCACATTTATTAAGTACGATATTATAAGCGTTTAGAAATGGAGTTGAGATCATGAATCGTGAAACGTTGACTTTTTAAATGTTTATCGTGATTTGTCTTATACGCTTACGTGCTTATGTGTTCACAAATCTTGTGTAAGATTAGTAGTGAAGCGTATTTTTCCAACTCGAAAAGTCTAACAAGATACTAAAAGAAATGTTAGTTTGCAAGCATTAATTGCTTTGACGTTCATCGTTCTATGTTATGACAATATTTTTCGAAGTCAAGTTCCAGTCTTGATTAAGGAAAATGAGGTCTAAACATTATTTTCCTTTCAATTTTACTCAAATAAATTTGTGTTTTAACGAATTTAGAAAGTAGACCGACTCAATGAAGCAAATTTTGGTACAAACATCATTTTACTTTTAGTTTTGATGGTCATTTTTAACTTTTACTGTTATATAATCAAATCACCGTGTTTGTGGCCCGCTGATAGTTGAGGTGACAATACCAATTGGACGGACAAAACTTTTGATAAATGTAAATGGCATGCGTAATAATACACGATTATATTGTCAAATTGTTAACTCGTAAAGTACTATCTGCTTCACAAGAACATTTTTCTTCTTATTCTTTGTAGCTTTATGTTGCATCCCTAAATTCTGAATTTAAAGCCTCTACTTCATGAGAGACTTAAGTTGAAGTTGAGATGTGACAAAAAATCTGAGCCAATTCATTACAAATTGATACCAAGATTCAATTTAAGTCTTTTATGAGGAAGAAGTCTTGAATCCGAATTTTGAGGAAAGCGATAGAAATCCATGAGAGATAAGAGAAAAGATGCTCTCCTAAAGTGACTTGTATGTATAATATAATGATTTGAACACGTGTGAGATTATTTAAATAATAATAATAACTTGTGCATCTCAACCTATGTGCCCGTGCCTGTGTCGTTATAAAATGTATGATTGAAAAGATAAGAATTATGAGTTTCATAAAATGTATTTTTTAACATTGAAAAATATATAATTGAAAAGTTATATTTTATCAAACAAGCGCCTAATTATATGTGCTCACGCAAACTCACGCTCACGTCCAAGTGATGACAACAGTTCCGTCCACATCATGGAGGGTCGCTCAATGGTCAGCATGCCGGTGCGCATGTGCCTCGATGTCCAGCTGCCCAGGGGTCCTCGCTCAACTGGAGCCACGAACGTTGAGCAAAGTACCACTCAAAATGATACAGAACCACAAGAATCAAGCAACAACATTCACAAGGATGAGTGGTTGGTCGCTATAGAGAACCATGTTGACGACACAACAGACAAATCCCAAATACAGAGGATTCCATCGTTGCTGCGTGAGAAACAATCCAACAATTGTTATGATCCTCATGTAGTTTCGATAGGCCCTTATCATTACGGAAAGCCACAGCTCGACACATTCGAGAAGCTAAAGATTCCAATCGCACAGAAATTCATTCGTGCCTGTGGTAATCAAGTATCCCTGGAACAGTTATATGACGAGGTGGCAAAGATGGGTAAAATTGCCCTCGAATACTATGAGGAAGGCTCGATTGAAGTCAAAGACGATGAAGCGTTCAACAGAATGATGTTTCTTGATGCTTGCTTTGTGGTTCATTTTATGTCCATCAATTCCTATGGGATAGATAAATTAGATCCACTGTTGCCTTGGATTTGCTACTTTGCTTTTGTGCAAAGAGACTTGTTCTTGCTAGAGAATCAAATTCCTTTACTACTACTAAAAGTTTTGATCAAATTCAGGTGCGAAAATGAAGGCGAGAAGACAAAGTTGATTCAGAATTTCCTTGATCAGAAGGTCACCATAATGCCACCTGAAAAAAATTCATCACTGATGCTGTCAAGAAATATCTTGCACAAAAGATGGGATGCAGTGTTCAGAAAAAAGAGAAATCGAAATTAGATATGGATGCACCCCCTACTCACCTTCTACATCTAGTTCGGGAATAGCTCATCGGGCCATCTCCCAAAGACGAAAACGAGAAGCAATTTGTTTAATGGCATTCGTATCGTTCAGTAACTGAGCTCGTATCAGCAGGAATTCATTTCAGATTAAGTCAAACTAACCACGTTACCGACGTAAAATTCAAATCTCACCTTACTTCTGGTACTCTTACACTTCCTCCAATAATGGTTGATGATTCAACAAATGATTTCCTATTAAATTTGGTGGCTTATGAAATGTGTCCCCATGGACCTTCTGATTATCACATTACATCATACGTTAGCTTAATGGATTCACTCATTGATCATGCTGATGATGTTAAAGAGCTCCGGAAAAGAAGAATTCTTGTCAACAATTTAGGCAGTGACAAAGAATTGGCGCAACTCTTTAACGATATATCTAAGAATTTGGTACCTGATCCCCGTGCATATTCAGATGTTAAGTTGCAGATTGAAAATCATTGCAAGAGTAAAGCACAAGTCTGGATGGCTGAATGGATACACGACCATTTTAGCAGTCCTTGGGCTCTCTTGGCTTTTCTAGGTGCAATTTTCGCCCTCGCCCTTACTTTGTTACAGACATATATTGCTGTTTTTTCCGCACTAAAGGTCTCAGGACACAAGACTTCCTAAATCAATGATCTCGTACGAGCTCTTCTGTTGCGAAAGTTCGTTGTTTTAAGCACGTTTTAGAAACAAGATACCTTAGGATAATAGCAGTTCTGCATGGAAAGACATAATCATATGTTCTGTAGTTATGTACAAATGATCAGTTTGAAAAATGCAATAAAAAACCTTCAGGTGGCCTGAAAGGCGGATCCAGACATTTTGTGCAGCGGAGTCAAAATTTAAAATGCAATTTTTATTTTTTATTTTTTCCAAAAATAACATTGATTGTTCCCATAACACAATTTGAAACACCATTTCAACAAATTGCAAAAGATCATATACAAACACATCGAAACACTCGATCAGAAGAGAGAAATTCAGAAATTAGAATACACACAAACTTTTTGAAAAATCAGATTCATATCACATATCCTAATATCCAAATCCACATACATTTCAAGTTTCAACATTATCAAATTTTCACAAATCATAAAGATATTTACATTTTATACTACCCTTTTGATAGAGTCAACTTCAGCGCGATTAGCAGGGGAAGTCCGGCGGAGGAGGGTTCCTGGTTGTATTGTATTCTTGTATTTGATATTTATTCAATTCAATGATTCATCGATTTGTGGCCGTGAAAAGAAGAAGTCGAGGCTCGAAGGCTGGAGAAGAAATGAAGAATGAAGTCTGAACCCTGAAGATGAGATGTCGCAGAGAGAAGTCAGAAGTTGGTCGGGACTTGGGACTTGGAATTTGGGTAAAGTAAATTATAATAATGGATTATGGATTGGAGATATGGGAATTGGGCTTCAGTTAGTGGCCCGCTGGGCTACTGTAGGGAAATTACACCATTAAAAATAAATAAATAAATAATAACAATAAATAAATAAATAAATTCCAAAATTTTTGTGGGTCAAATGACCCACATAATCCCATGTTGGTCCTCCCCTTGGTGGCTTGTAAACCAAGCTTGAGAAGAACTCTCTTTGGTGTTTTCATTCTATTGGCAACAAATCTTTCCAAACTTGTGGAGACAATTCCAAACCCTTAAAGGCTTTTCTCAAAGCCTAAGTACTTAACTAGAGCTACAACTATTGATAAAACTTTGAAAAGTTTATTAAACAAACGCCGTAAAAGAAAACTAGAAGATAATATGATTAATTAAGGTTAATGTTATTTATATATAATTGTGTACAGATTGATTGCAGTGAAGCAGTTTGTGATTCTTGTAACTTTCTGTATGAAACAAGGTTGCAACTCTCCTGTACTTTGCCTTGGTCATATTCTAATTGTCTTTTAGCTCAAACCGTATAGAAAATGTAAAAAGGATAATCTAGAATAAAATATTGAGGAAAGAAATGATAAAAAAGTAGTTTTAGTTAAATCCCTTGCCCGCAAATCCTTATATGAAATCTGAGTAGAAACCAGGTGGTTGCTTCAATAGGTTTATGTTTAGAGATGTAAAAATATGTCAATCTATGGAGGAATGACTGGCCCAACGTAAACTAGATTTGGCCCATTTGGGGTTTGCATGGATTTTGGTCACTAAAAATTTAAAGCATCTTGATTGCTTACTTAATGCTGAAAATATCTTTAATTGCTCTGTAAACTTTAAAAACATCTTTAATTGTTCAATGAAGTTTGAGGTGGTCGAATTTTGGTCATATAAACTTATAAAAATGACGTTGGCATATTGTTCATTATAAAATATGTACTGTAATAGCATGGATTGCGTAAAAATAATAAAGTGGACAAACATGTCTGTGTTGTAGATCCCACGAGAAATGATTACTAATTTACACGATAGTTAAATTTAATTTTAACATATTTTTGTAGAATTTTTAGTTATTTTAATTATTTGAAAATTTCAAATTTATTGTGTATTTTGTTGTTAAAAATTAAACCAAATTAAAATTTGGATTTTACAAGGAAACGCACAATAAATTTAATTAAATTTATTGTTTGTTTCATTGCAAGTTTATTATTTAATATGATTTTTCTTTTCTTTTCAACTTCAGTACTTACTACCTGCACTACAATAATCGAAATTTATTATGGCATTTCCATTGGACATTGTGTCATAACCGATGGAGTGATACATGAAACTATTAAACCTTTTGTTTGAGTTGTGATGCTAATTATGAAATTATAACTCGAATACTGGGCTATGATGAAAACGGGCTCAGGCCCAAATTTTTTTTTTAAGATGCTACACTTCATTGCCCGATAACACACTTGGTGAGCCCAAGAACCCGAGCCCAAAACCTGAGGATTACGTGTGTTGCTCCAAGATCGTTAGATCCCTTATCTCAGATCAATGGTTCGATGGTTATTAAATGTCACGCCTTTTGAGCGACTCTTGACTGAGGCTTATTCATTCGAACTGTCCTTAGAACTCTCTGGAAAACCCTAGCCTTTTCTGTTTGCTTTCTCCTTCGTCTCCTTCGAGTTCCTTGAGAGATCTTATGTGATTTGGGGGCTATATTTTCTGTGTGAATAATGTGAATCTTAGTGATTCCTGGTGAGAAAAGAAAGTGTTGTTATACGGTCTAGGGTTTCCTATTCGGTCTTGTTGAAGAAACCACATTCGATCCTTTTGTTGTGGGATTTTTTGGGGTTTACTCTTGGGTAATCTTTACCAGTGTACAGAAGGGTACCATGAGTATTCTGAGCCCATGATTCGATGAAATCTTGTGTTAAACCTTTTTTGATTTGGAGTCTGTAATATATATATTCTTTTTCGTTCATACATTTTTTTTTTACTTTGAGATTCGACTAACATTACCTTTGTTGTGTTACTCGAATTCTTACAGGCGTACTCATTGAGTGAACTCAGTTTTCAGACTCAATCCTCAGGTGACCAGTATTAATTCTCGAGGACTTCTTTGTTATTTAGTAGTCCTCGCTCGACTACTATCTTTGGTTTGCAGTCTTGACTCATCATAATACTTAATCTATTTTTGTTGTATATATATAATATGCATGTTGTTACTGGAAATTTAATATACAGTTCAATAGATCTTCATGTGTATTATAATATATGTTCGTAGTTAAAAATTTTGGTAAACTGCTTTCCTATCCATTGTCTGTGTGATACATTGGGAATATTATTTCCTGCTTGTTGATCTTGATGTCTTAAGTTGAGCCTTGACCTGAGGACATGATCTTCACGGAATCCTGGTGAACTTGGGCATTTAAGGCCTGAAGTGTATTGCACTGTATCTACTGTTACTTCTTGATATTGGTGAATACTTCTTGTGCTTTTTTTTTTTTTTGGGTATTGATCCTGCATCTTTTATTTTGTTGTTGAACACTGAACTTCAAAAATAAATTTTCTTGTGTTGGTTAAAAATTCCAAATGACAACAACTACATTTGAACTTGGGGTTTTTAATGGAAAAGGGAATTTCCCCATTTGGCAACAAAAAATGAAAGGAGTCCTTGTTCAACAGAAAGTTGCAAAAGCTATAACTGGTGATTTTCCTGATACTATAACTGAAGCACATAAAATTGAATGTGATGAACTTGCCTCTACCTCTATCATATTGCATCTATTTGATCAAGTTTTGAGAAAAGTTGGGAAACATGATAGTGCTAAAGACTTGTGGGAAAAACTAGAAGAACTTTATTTAGTTAAGTCCCTACCAAATAAACTGTTTCTCTTAGAAAGATTTTTTAGTTTTATGATTGACATGACTAAAGACTTAGAAGAGAACTTTGACATCTTTAATAAATTGGTTCAAGATATTACCAATGCGGGAGACAAAGTGTCTGATGAATACAAGGTTGTGATTCTTCTACATTCATTACCTGAAATGTATAACGATGTCAAAAGTGCCATTAAATATGTTAGGGATTCATTGACTCTTGAAGTTGTTATTAACTCTTTAAGGAGCAAGGATCTGGAACTTAAAATTGGAAAACATGGAAGGGATCCTGAGAGTTTATTTGTTAGAGGGGGTCACTTAATAGGCAAAATCATGATCAGGATAATCAGAGTTATCAGGGAAATAACAATAACAAGAAGAAATGGAAAGGAAAACCTAGGTCAAAATCTAGGATTGGAAATAGAAAGTGTTATGGATGTGGTAAAACTGGTCATTTCATTAAAGATTGCTCTAAGAAAAAGAATGAACAAAGAGAGAAGAAGGTAGATGAGGGAAATGTAGTTGAGCCCCTAGAAGATAAAACTGTAGATATCTATGTTGTTACATAACCCATTACTAACCTTAATAATGTAAATTGTTCTGAGAGTAATGACCAGGGTCAAGAGTGGATCCTTGACTTTGGCTGCACCTTTCATATGACTTCTAAAAGAACTTGGCTAGAAAATTTTAAAGAAATAAAT